GCGGATAATAAAAAATATATTAAAGATTATCCGAAAGAGGTATCGAATGATATATTTAAATCTAATAGGAATATAGATTTTTAAAATCCTCCAAGTTTTTCCATTATAAAGGACGATGCTTTCCAAATAGTAAAGTTTCCACATAGTGACTTTTTCTCTTTAACTCTTAAGTATAACTGCTTTATAAAGATCAAACTTAAAGTTTACTATTTGTAAAGATATCAAACCAGAAGATATTATTAATAATTTTGAAAGCCTTAAGTGTATAATGCGGGCGATAATAGTCTGGCAGTAACATGTAGAAATGTCCTCTTGCATTAACAAGAGACACATGAGCATGAAAGCAACAAATAATAGGAGCCTGAAATCTTAGAGTAATAAGTAGCTTTCTCGGAAGTTGTTGAGAAATGCTTAAAAGCACCCCTTAAGGGGATGTTAATGCTCCTTATCATTAACCTAAATACATTGCTTACTGGATACGGAACAATCATAAAATCATTAGATTTGTTAGATCAGCTTAATTTACATGATGCATTCATACTGAAAGGTCTTTGGTGTATATTATTTAGCTACTCATTTATTGAGTCGTTATTTGGAACAATAAGAAAACTGGTAAACCAAGGACTACTACATTAAGCTCAACATTGGACTTTCTTTTGGATTAGAGTTCAAATATTTAGACTGTACTATTATTTCGTTTGCAACTTAACCTAAACTGAACATCTTGTATACTCCTAATTAATAATTGGATTTATAAGTAGTTGAATCAATTTTTTTTGCATTTGAGTGAAATTCAACCATTTGTTAGATTAGGTGTTAACTAGACTTTCTTGTTTTCATGTATTTAAATTTATTATTTAAAATGCTCTTAAATCACTCATGTTTAGTTAGGCTAGTTTTTCAAAGTATCAGGTGATGATTGTGACGAATAAAAAACATTATTACCTTTGCTTAAAGTTTTCAAGTATTGATAGTATCATAGCGATATCCAAGTGTACATAAATGTTTAGATACATAAGTGACAGTTGAAGTACCTTCTTCAAGTATGAAAAATGTTATTAGATTACCCTATGACAATTGTGTGCTTTTTTATGATTGAGCGGAGTAACTCTTCTTCATGATTAAATTTATTTTGTATAATGGTACTGAAAGATTGTATAATAAGCAGTAAAAATGATCACCCCAATCTTGAAACAAGAATTAGTAATCAATAAATTGCAATAAGACTAAAATTGCCACTTGTCATTAAGGAACAAACAGCAAACCTCATATGTAATCGAACTCAATAAAATAGTTCATACCTTTATTTTCGCTGAATTGACATGTTGACCAAGTGTACAGAGAAGTACAACTAGGGATGCCTAATTAAAAAATCCACTTATGCATCATCTAGTATAAAAGTAATATCCAAAACGGTCAAATAGCATTCATTTGACTTCAAGTCTAATACAACAGAAATTTGAACTACGCAAAATAGTCTTGAAGGAAGGTTTAACGTGACTTACAAGCATGTTGAATTAATTAATAAATCATGATGTCTTATTTGCTGTGCAATTAGTAAGAAAATTATGTCAATTTTGTAGCTTTAAAATCTAATGCACGCAGTAGCGAAAGCCTAAATAATCAAGAGGTGTATTAGTAATTTACGGCTTAGCAACTCAAGCATACTTTAATTCGGTCTAACATGAAAAATCAAAATTTCTAACAGAGGGAAGAGGTTTCGACCAAAAATGATGCGAAAAAGCGTTACCAAGAAGTATTTCTTTTCAGGAGAGCAAGGAGCAATAAATTTAAGAATACTAAAATGGCTTAAATTTCAAGTGAGTAGCTGCTCGAGAAAATTTCTGAATGAATAGATTAATAGTTAGATTATTTAGGTGGCATTTTGTGTTTGAAGCTGAGAACAAAATCTACCAGTAATCAATGAAGCCCAACAAATATCTCTCCGTGTTTGCTGATACCAATGAGATTTGAACAGATGCTAAATTAATTGCTAGATTTTAAAAAAAAAATCAGTCCTGAATGCCTAAATATATATCTGATTGTACTGCTTCTGCTATTAACAATGCTTATGGGATCAAATTTCACTCTTGCATTGTAAATATTTTGTTGAAATGCATCATTATGCACAGTTCTATTCTAAGCTTACCTTATAAATATGGAGTAGGTGATATTCTGATATTTCAAATGAGCATAATTCTGACAT